CGGAGCAGGCGCCAGAACGATCGCCGGAGAAGAGTGGTGGTCGGAATGGTCGCCGGAATAGTCCCCGGAGCGGTAGGGGTGGTGCATGTGGGGTGTGTTTATTATATTATATTATATTAGAATTAAAAAAAAAAACCTGATTTTTGAATTTTCAAACTATTAATCTTATTTTTGAATTGGTGTAAAGAATACACCTTATTTATGAATTTTTCCCCTAGATGATAGTCAATAACATACATTTGCATGTTTATGGAACTGGGTGTGGCCATTTTCTCTTTGCAAATACCCTTTTACACAGACCAACTTCTTAAAGTTTCAAACCATGCTCGTGATGACTTCTTTATCTGCAGATGGTCTTTTTTCGCCTACAAACCTTCCTTCATCTTTTAAGCTCTGATCCTCAAATTCATTGAAAAAGGTTCCAAGCTCGTGGTGACTAAAAATAAATTATAAAAGAATAATTTTGAGATTGAGTCCATGTTTGAACCACATTTTCATTTTCATTATTTTATTCATTTTCAATCACACATTTTTCAATAAAATAATATTTTCCGTCACATCAATAATATTTCCTTCTTTTTCAATCACGTATTTTCCAACACATAAAAAAATGCAATCGTTCAATTTTAATGTGCATCAAACACACTCTGATTTGTTTATAGTATTGTACCACTTGTTTGATTTGCAAATACAAAAAAGTACCTCATAAATTTATTAAAAAATCTGAAATTTTTTAAAAAAACTTTAAATAAAAATTTTCTTCTATCTAAAAACAAAATGGTTCTCAAATTTGAAAATTGGAGGCTGAATTGTCCAAACCGGGAAAAGGAAAAGAATCACACAATTCAAAATGCAAAGTTGCAACCATGAACCAACCAACCAACCAACATACCTCAAAATACGTAAACTAACGTGGCAAATGATCATTGGCTAATTGACACCTAACGCGGATCGCAATCCAAACTCTTCTCTTTCCTATAATCTCTACCGTCCATTTCATTATTCGAACGATCCTCGAAAATTCCCAAATTCAAATTACCCCAAAATTTTCACCCTTCCCGCTCCTTCATTTCTCCATATAAATCCCCCCATTAATCAACAAACCCATCACCTCAATTTGCAGTATTCTGTGCTTAGTAATTTTCCATACACAAAATCCAATTTTTGTTTCAAAATCAATGGCTCGTACTAAGCAAACAGCTCGCAAGTCCACAGGAGGCAAGGCCCCAAGGAAGCAGCTCGCCACCAAGGCAGCCAGGAAGTCTGCCCCGGCCACCGGAGGAGTGAAGAAGCCTCATCGATTCCGCCCTGGTACTGTTGCACTTCGTGAGATCCGTAAGTACCAGAAGTCCACTGAGCTTCTGATCCGTAAGCTACCCTTTCAGAGACTGGTTCGTGAGATTGCTCAGGACTTCAAGACCGATCTGAGGTTCCAGAGCTCCGCCGTGGCGGCGTTGCAGGAGGCAGCGGAGGCGTACCTTGTTGGTCTGTTTGAAGACACCAATCTGTGTGCTATTCATGCTAAGAGGGTCACTATCATGCCCAAGGACATTCAGCTTGCCAGGAGGATTAGGGGCGAAAGGGCTTGATTCAAGGATCTATAGGGTTGTTAATGTAAATCTTGTTTTAAGTCATCGTTGCTTTTAAACTCTGCCTCTGCTTTTATTAATCTAATGAATTGGAAATTTTATATTGAATATCTATGAAGATCGCGTTTCTTAATATTAGGAAACATAGAATTGGGAGTAAAAAATAAAATTAATTAAACAAATTCATGTTTAAATTGGGTAGAAAATATTATTATGTTAAGTTTCTTTGTCTAATAAAGTTTTAAATATTGACAAATTTTAAGCATCTGTTTGATTCATATTAAAATTTTTATTTTTATTTTTCTATTTATTTTTAATTATACATTTTTTAATAAAAAAATATTTTTTATTATATTAATAATTTTTTTTTCAATTACATATTCTTTATTAATTTATTATTTTAAAATATATTCTTTCAAAATAATGTGATTCAAATATACTTTAAACATTATTTATTTTATATGCTCATTTCATTGATGGAATTTCTATCAACTTGCATTAAATATGAATTTTTTTAAGAATATGTTATTTATCGTGAGTGATTATAGTAGTTTTTTATGACATCCTATGTGTAATAATTTTAATAATTAAAAAAAAAAAAGAAGAAAACAATCACAAGTAAAATATTATATTGGGTGATTGTTGTAGTTGTTAACTACGAATAAAATTATTAATTTTTTATACACTGTTTATAATTGCTCACGTGACACATTTTTGTAAGCAATTCACTATTGCATTAGACATCTCCAACGTGATTTTGCACTATAAGTTAGTTGAAAAACTTGAAGTATGTCTAATAAATAGAAATCCAAACTTAAAATTGGACTCAATAATACTGCTTGTTTATCTATGTTAAAATAAAAATAAATAAAATGGAGAGAAAGGGAGAAAAATTCAATTGTTGAGTCGACGTGCATAACAAAGGTTATGAATTAAAACAGCTTGATGGAGTTCTTATTATTATTCGTGTTAGATATCATTATTTTTTATCATTTATTTTAATAATCACTATTTTAAATTGTCGCAAACGTTTTAATTTATTATTTAATTCATTAAAATGTATGGTAATTTTGTTGAAAATGAAGTAGAGAATCCATTGCGAATATTTCTTTTTCGTATAAAGATTTGACTGCGTTTTGGCGTTTACATACTTTCCCATACGTAAACTAATTACGTAAAATAAATGATCTTTTCCAAGAATATAAAAAAAAATGTTTTCCTCTTGAAACAAGCAAAATGGAAGAATATCACTAACGTGCGCCTTCAGCCCCCACGCATAAAAGCACAAAAAATTTCGTTCTCCCGCCATCCCTTTTCTCCTTTTTTTTGGACATTCACCAACGCTCCGAATCTACTCTCTCTAAAGAACAAAGAAAAAAAAAAAAAAAAATCGAAAAATGGAAATTCCAGTTATTGATCTGGCTCCATACTTGGAATTCTCATTGAAATTCTCAGATTCTGGTAAAGAAGAGTTTGATCCACAGCTGAAGTGTCTGTGCTCGGAGGTGAGCCGAACCCTAAGGGAGACGGGAGCATTACTAGTCAAAGATCCGCGATGCACAGCACAAGACAACGATCTGTTCATCGATATGATGGAGAAATACTTCGAAATGCCTGACGATTTTAAACGCCTCCAAGAACGCCCTCATCTCCATTATCAGGTCCCTCTCAAAGTTTTATTTTATACTTTGGGCAGCATTCTGCAGTGTGTAATTGAGGTCTTATAATTCAGATTATAACATAATAAGTTTTAAAAAATTAAATTGGATCGTATGTTATAGTTCTGAGGCACCAATTCCGTGCTGATTTATGCACATGATTGGTTTTAGTATTTAATGTTTAAATTTGTTCTCGACTGGCGAGTTGATTAGGGGTCTCCAATATTGTGATGATTGAGTGTATATTGAGTTTTGCTCCTCCATTGTCGAGTAGAAATATGTTAATTTATAATTTGAATCATATCGATACATACATAACTAGTTCATGTTTGTATGCCTTCTCTATGTGCATCGATAAACAGAAACTGAATTGAGATCTTGGAATTGGGAAAGGTAATTCAAAATTGGTTGGATTTTCCTTTTCATAAAATACAGTGAACCTGGAATTGAAGTCCATAGTTTTGCTTCTTCAAACGGTTAAACAAAGTAAACATTTATGCCAGACTACCAACTATATTGCTATAATTGGATTGGAAAATCCAGATTAAATTAGTACTACTAATGTCCACACATGAAGCCTACTTTATTATGAGATTTTCATCAGTACTATATGTTTTTAACCTCTTTCCCTTGCCGACTAAATTGCTATAATTGGGCTAGAGTTTTCCCAGTATTAAGTGTTATTCGCGTCAAGAGACCATATGAGACAGGCATGATTCAGAAGGTGTCGTTGCTGCAAAAAGTAGTATCGTGACATTATTATTACAGTTACAACCCTTTGAAACTGAGGTATCTCCTAAAGAATTAAATGAAGGGCATGACTACAATTTCATATTTTTTAAATCTATCTTAGGAACGTCATCTTCCTTCTCCTTGCACGTTTATTCTGCCTCATTCAACCTTGTAATTAAACGGAAGTTCCAGTTTTTCATTTTAATGAGCAAAATTTTGAAGCCATGTCGTGCTTTCCTTTTTCTACAAGAGATTTTATAAACTAAAAGTGACTCACATTTTCATTTCAACGAGTTCAATTGAGCTCATCTTTCATTAATTAAAAACCACATACAGAAATAAATGCAATTAGTTAATTACTGTTCTATTTGTAAGAGTGAGTGGCTGGCAAGCTTTTGAGTTTGATGCTTATCTAGTGCTATCTGTGCTTAACAAAGACTTGTAGGCAATTTCTTTCCAGGGGATAACTTCCCTGGAAATTAAATTAGAGGCTGATGTCTCTTAAAAATCAAGTGAGCCTGGATACAAATAGCACTTGCAGAATACCTCTTCGATCGTTCAAATTCTGTCAGTTACAGTCCCTTACCTTAGACAATAAAAAGTAATTTTATCCTATTTTTCACGTTTCACTTACATTTTTACTATGGAGAAGCTAGCATAGTTAATTAATTAGAAGGGACAGACATAGTTAACGGATTAGAAATTAATAATATTGCATGGAATAGGGGTTTAATAGTCTGCTGGTCGAGGACCACTTAATCTAATTGCAATTTTTTGCTCTCATATTTTCACAGGTTGGAGTGACACCTGAAGGAGTTGAAGTACCTCGTAGTCTAGTTGATGAAGAAATCCAAGAGAAGCTAAGAGCAATGCCCATAGAGTTTCAGCCATCGGCTCTCACTGGACCAGATCCTAAGTGGCGATTCATGTCGAGAGTTGGTCCACGACCATCAAACACCCGCTTTAAGGTTGATTGAATTCCTTTCAGTCTGATTTTGAGACAGTTGGGCTTCTATTTGTTTTGACAAGCGTCCATCTTGTAGGAGCTTAATTCGGAGCCTGTAATACCTGAGGGATTTCCTGAGTGGAAAGATACCATGAATTCTTGGGGACATAAGATGATATCTGCGATAGAGGTGAATCATCAGCACTGTGTGTTTCTTATTTCCTGCAGCTAGTTACACATATTGTTTAACTGTCGTGTAATACTATTCTTGTTCAGGCTGTTGCTGAAATGGCGGCCATTGGCTTTGGCCTGCAGAAGGCTGCATTCACTTCTCTTATGAAGCAGGTTACTGTTTTTTTGGGTTATTGTTATATCAACCATCGTTGTCTTTCTTCAATTCTGTCCCAGCAAGAAACATTTCTATCTGATTGTTATAAAAATATAAACAAGCCATGATTGTAATTTCTAGTCCTGTTCCCACCCTCAGAAAATTGATGCCTATCGGCTGTCTTATAAGACTGCAATTAAATGTCTTTTTTCTACAGAAGAGAGTAACTATAAAAGAATGTGAAATTTCAGATGCATTTCTTTCCTGGGTGGAAATATTTGATCTCCTTTCTTGTCTTTGTACGAGTTTTCTGGTTGGAATCAGAAAATATGTATGATTTGATTCTATATTTTTATAGTGCCTCTAATTCTTGCTTTGACCGTTTGCTTCCATACTACACACTAAAAGAATCATATAGCTGAACCAAAATTTATTGAGAACAAGGCTTAATTTGTTATTGTACTATGTATAGTAAAAGATCAAAGGTAAAGATATGTCATGCATCAAATATGAGTACTGTCGCTTATGGATAGTCAAATAGTTAACCTGGAAGAGGTTCAATACGTGTGTGAGTTGTGCCTGCCAGTCTTTTTGCTATTTTGTTTGTTCAGCTCCTCTTCTTTTATCAATTGAGTCTTGGTTTATGTATCTAGTCCATTCCTATCACATTATGCAATCTACATAATTTTATTGATAATTTGGAAGTGGGCTTGCAACATGGATGATCATAACACATGAAGAAAATTTATGTAAAAAATCAAAAGTTGAATTCTCTTTATGTAAAGGGCTACCCTTCTTCCTTGCCTTCAAATTCCCTTTCCTCCAATACATCCTTTGTGCATTCTGCCTTGAAGAAAACTAGAGCAATGGAATGTTTATTCATCCACTTGAGGTGTGAACCGTAGCTGAAAAATTGCCAATCACTAAATCCTCCCAAAGATGAAACCAAGTTCACTTCCCCCTCCCTAATATTTTACTACTTCAAACTTCTCCAGTAGTTCTCTGTACCAAGCCTTAAGCCATCCGCTCTGTTGCTTCAATGGCACAAAACTCCTTTTAGGCATTTTTGCATTTAAGTGTCATTTAAGGTTTTCCAGAATTTCGTAGTTCTATTTTCATACCAACATTCTTTCTTTATGGCTTGACATACTCTTAAACGACTTCTCCAATTCCAGGGACCTCATCTGCTTGCTCCAACAGGGAGTGACCTAAGACGTCATGGCCAAGTAGGTACTGTGTTTGCTGGATATCACTATGACCTCAACTTCCTTACAATTCATGGAAGAAGTAGATTCCCAGGTCTAAATATTTGGCTAAGAAATGGGCAAAAAATGGAAGTGAAGGTTCCTGTGGGATGTCTCCTCATTCAAACAGGAAAGCAGGTAGGATTTTCCCAGTTCTGACTATTGTTAAGATCAGATGATTTTAATTTCTAACGATTTACTTGTGGGATTAAGCCAGCTGTTTTGTTGTTTATTCCGTTATTAATGAAATTGTCTATATATCAGAAGATAATTGGGTTATGATTATATTATGGGTTCAATTTAGCCGTTTTATTGTTCATTCCCTTATTGATCATTTATAATTGGCCATATATGAGAAGATAATTTGTTTAATTAAATTTAACCTTATCATATCCTCAATAATACAACATAAGATAATTTGGTTATTTTATCGTGGGTTTATCTGGCTGTTTTGTTGTTCATTCCTTTATTGGTCATATATAATTGGCCATTTATGAGTAATTTGGTTAAATTATTTTAGCCTCCAATCATACCCTCAATTATACAGCAGAATACTTGCATGTACTGGATGTCAGTTAAAATGTCAATTTTATTGGGATCGTGTATGTTCAGTGAAGTGTTCTGTTTCCTTGTGATTAGATTAGTACAGAAACAGAAATAACGTTTTGATCTAAAGATCTTTCCCATCATTTTTCCTCTTTGGTTTCCAATCCAACTTTTGAGCAAAAATTTGTGAATTTTAGTTTTCTTTCATCATTTTTGTACTGATGAAGTCTTTATCAGTGGAGATAATCAATGCTCTTTTGAGCCCTCACTTTGTATTAATATATATGCAGATAGAGTGGTTGACTGCAGGAGACTGCATAGCTGGCATGCACGAGGTTGTTGTGACTAACCGGACAACTGATGCAATCAAACTAGCCTTGGAGCAAAACCGCAGCCTGTGGAGAGTGTCCTCAACGGTAAGTTAAGCCATGAGGTTGCAATCATTTTGATTTTTCTCATTTTCTGCATTGTATTTTTAGTTTATCATGGTCACCATGACTTCAATTGCTATTAATTGACTTTCTCTTGACCTTTGTAGCTTTTTGCACACATAGCATCAGATGCTGTGTTAAAACCTCTAGGCCACTTTGCAGAATCCCCCCTTGCCAGCAAGTATCCTCCCATGCATGCTGGAGAGTTTGTCGAACAAGAGCTTGCTGTCATTAATCTCAAAGGCAGTAAAGGCGACCTTTGATAACTTAAAACAACTTGAATGTGGTTCTTTCAAAGCCAGTAACACTTGGAGATTCAAGTATTTGGTGGGCAGATAGCAGGAATGCTGGATTCAATCAAGTCATTCAATTTCTTAGTTTCCCTAAATTGTTTATAAGACACGCTGTATGAATTTGTGCTCTATAATTTTACTCTCCAAGACTATTGTTGAGAGAGCAATTTATTATTTTTGTTTCCAATGTTGAAATGCTGGCCTTTTCTTCCCACTTGATTTTGGGCATAGTTATTCCATTACAACACAAAACTGATCAAACATGCTTGATGTACAATGTTGTTGACAATATGTCACGTAACATGTTGTCATTAGACCGTTTTAAAAAATATTTTATCTATTTAACCAACATTTTTTTGCCACCTACAACAATGTCAACAATGTTGTAAAAAAAATTGCACAAATAGATATCCCAAAACTGATAAATAACACTGCCTTGTCTGCAGGTCAAAATGTGTATTTTAGACTCTAATCTGCAGGTGGTGCACATATCGACAGTAAGCTGCAAATTGGAGTTTTCTTCTGAATATCACATGTTGTGGTTTGAAAATCATCGACTCCTTTGTATAGGAGGGCCATCTCATGAAATGTGAGTGTTATAACTGTATGGAAAGGTGCCAAAATCATGTCAACGCTGTAGAGCACAGTTAGCTAGCTCTTACAGGTGACATGAATCAATTGTGACAGTGTTGGGGTAAGAAACATGAAATAGCATCAAACCCAAAGTAAAGTTTGGTAACCTAGATGGCATTTTGCTATAAGTTTCAGTTACTGGTATTGGATTTCACCCAAGCCTGAAAACATGAAATTCTACAAAACGAACACCCTGCTGACTTTGCTGTTGCTTGTGTTTGTGATGGCTGGTCAAGTGCAGGAAAGCAATGGACAGATGAGTTGTGGCAGCAGTTACTTCTCGACACTCGTTCAGCTGATACCTTGCAGGGCCTCGGTGGTTCCATTTATACACATGCCTCCAACTGAGGCTTGCTGTGCTGCCATTAAAGCTCTAGGCCAGCCTTGTCTGTGTGCACTTTTGAATGGCCCGGCCATTTCAGGGGTCGACCGGAACATGGCCATGCAGCTTCCTGATAAGTGCATGGCCTACTTTGAACCATGTAAAGACTCTCTCTCTCTCTCTCTCTCTCTCTCTCTCTGTGTTTGTTCCATTGTATTGTCTCTATTCACCTTTTTCTTTTTTTCTGTACTTGCTTAGAGGAAAGATCTTCTCTTGTTTGAATTTAGCATTGTTCTATATAAATTGAGTTATGTTTGCCCTTTTCTTTATGCAGGTCAAATTACGAAGTAAACTGCAAAAAGCAGTGGAACAAGTTCATGAATAAGTGTGTGGAGGGCTACTAATGAGCCTTTATGTAGTTTTCTTTAACTAGTAATCATATAACAGACAAATTTGTATTAAAAACCAGAGTCAAATCCTAGAAGCTTTGTGTTAATTAACGTGTGGATTTTTCTAGTATACATTGTTCTCTCTTTCTTTCTTGGAGATATATTAGCTCCATGATAGCAATTATTTCCTCGACATTCAAATTGCCCCAAAAGAAATCTGAGAGAAGAAATTCTATTAGCTCTATTAATACACAACAAATACAATTGAGTCTTGACCCTAGTTCAGGAAAGGACTCGATCTTCTACATACATTTGTACAAGTAGATGGAAAATATAAATCAACATTCTTAACACTTCAGATGGTGGAAAAACATCTTGCTTTCCGAGCTTGACAACAATACGATAAATTATTTACTTGGAAATCCTTTTGTGAGCACGTCCGCAAGTTGTTTACAAGAGGATACATAGTGAATACGATTTTTTTTCCCAATTCAAGTTTGAAAGGCGTACAACTTTCACATGCTTGGTCCAGTCACGATGAACAAGACTATGGACTATAAATAGAGTATATTTGTTATCTCAGTACAACATCATTGATTCCTTCACTTCTACCTTTAAATCCAAGAGAGTGATTTCAACCAAAGCAGCCACAACCCTAAATTCTGTCTCTGCATTAGAGCAAGCAACCGATCGTTTCTTGTTCCATGTAATAAATTTTCTCCAAGGTACAATAACCAGTACTTGACCTTCAATTGAAAATGAATTTAGCCTATCAAAATCTCCATTATTATTCTTTTGAAATAGAAACCCTTGTCTGGTGTGCCTTTTAAGTAGCTATATCAACGAGCCAAGCCCGAGCAGAAAAAAGAAGCTCGGGCTCGGCTCAAGCTTTTTTGGGCCCGAGTTGAGCCGAACAAAGCTCTGCCAAAAAAAAAAAAGAGGCTCGTCCCGACCCTTAGCGGGCCGAGCCGTTCGGCTTTTTTTTAATATCAAATCTACATGTTTACTTAAAAAATTTAAAATTTGTACGGTTTATACGTACTATAAATTAAATAAAAAAGTTCGGGCTCGACTCGAGCTTTTTTGGGCCCGAGCCGAGCCTGGCCTGGCCAAAAAAATGAGGCTTGACTTGAGCCTTGGATCGGTGTAACCGAGCCCGAGCCGGGCCAGGTTCGAGCTTTTTCCGAGCAAAGCCCGAACCGCTCGTGTCGACGAGCTTTTTTGTCATCCCTACTTTTAAGTATCTAAAGATTCCATAAACTGATGATATCTAAGAGGAGCATGCATGAATTAATTTATAACACTTACTACACAGGCTATACCTGACTTTGTATGTTACAAATAACTTTTGACTTTTGAGATACATCTTCGATGAACATCTTTTCATCCTTCTTGTGGTTTGCAGTGCTAATGTTGAGATTTTGGTTGCCCTATATGACATTTAAAATTGTACCCCTTTCATATAATTAAAAATATATTAAGAAAAAATATATTTCATTAATATTATTTCATTGCAAAAATATGACATTTAAATGTATGTATATAATTTTTTACATGTTGTGAATAAGAAAAGTACAAATAGCAATGTTGTTGATATGCACACTGATTTCATATTCCTTAAGCCTGACACTAATACGTTCTCAATCACTAAATCCTTCATTTTATTAACTGACCTTTTTGTAAATCTCTTTCAAGTAACTTGCAACAAAAACAAGAACCAATGATTTTGTATTGTGAATAAAGTTAGTTATTTGTTTCTTGCACTTGAAAATTGAAAAGAATCATGTATACAAACTGTAATTTGGAAAGATTCTCAGATGTACAACTTACATTTTCATTAGCGAATCCAAAAAGAATGTCAAGAATTTACATAAAAAGAAGAGTGAATCAGGAAATTGCAGACTGACTAAAAGTTGTATGAACAAGCGTTTATCATATCCTCCATATTCTTGAGCCATCCGAAAACTCATCGAAGTATGGAATATCTGTTAGAAGTAAATGAGTATGATAATGTTAAGGACAAATGTTAACCCTTTACTACCCATTGACTATGACCAAGAAAATCTACACTTTTACATTATCTTACCTTCTTTAACCCTGTTAAAATCTAATTCAGTTTCCATTTGCATCTCTACGATTTCTTCCTGAACGTCCCAAAACGACTTTACCTCGATGAAGAAGACGGCCAGTCAATGACACGTTAGAGTTGCCGTTATCTTCATAATAATCATCATCACCTTGATCAAAGTAATCAGAAGCGCCTCTACCAAACGCATGGTCAGAAGCTCTCTGCAATCTTCTACCTGCAGAACTCCAAAAAATGAAAGAAGCGCATTAAATTGCGAATAATTCCCTCTTCAAAGCTCTCGTCCTGCTCAATGCCATCTGCATCACAATGCTCCTCTTCACCTGAATTGAACCCATAACGACTTCCTTCAATCACATAATCACCAAAGAACACAGCTCCAGGCACTGATGACCTTATTGTTCTCATGACATCTTGTGTCTCTCTCTGACACTCCATCCTTCTCCACTTCTGTTCTAGAACGGGATCCAACTCATGTGGCTTAATGGAAGCGTGCTCTACCTTCACATGCTTCCGCAGCTGTTTGTATGTTCCAACAAACGAGCAGTTATCTTGCATGAAGCTCTGCTTCTTGGCATTGAGATGTTCTCGTGCAGGCTCAACGACAGTCCATCCCTTCACCTGGCCACGACAAAGAGGACGTGCAAGCTCCGTAACCTCACAATTCTCGACACTCCTGTTAGATAATGGACCCATGACTTTGACTATTGAGTGAATCATGGCCAAGTGGACGGGTTTCTGGAGGAGTTACTTTTGTGCAGGCTTTCTTGTACTGATCAAGGCAGTTGGAATAGCGGAAGCTGGTCCCACACATGTAAGGCCGGCATCCTTTGTCATGGGAGGAACATAACAGAAGAACAGCATTATGGGGACCCTCCATACAGAACATGTTGCATCTTCCCAGTCTATCTTATCAAAGATTTTGGATCACTTCTTTTGTTCTGCCCCCATGGTTCGATTGGTAGCTGGCAGAGGACTGGGACTGGGTGGAGGAGGGTAAAAAGAAGAAATATGAATATGAGTAAAAACTTCCTGACAATCTGAACTGGCAGATGAGGGATTAACGAACGGGGTTAGTGGTGGCAAGCGAGCCGAGCCGGCTCGTTGCCCACGAGCTCGTACTGTAGCGAGCCGAGCTGCTCAGCTCGGGCTCGCATTTTTTGAATTTTTTTAAACTATCCTTCTTTAAAAAAAATAAATAGACGAGCCGCTCGTAAAAAACGAGCCGAGCAAGCTCGGCTCGCCTACCTAGCCTGCCTGCTCGGCTCGTGCTCGGGCTCGGGCTCATTTTTTGACGAGCCCGAGCGACTTGTAGGCCGCTACAGTATGAGCCGAGCGGCCGAGCCGACGAGCCGCTCGACTCGATTGCCACCACTAAACGGGGTAGATGAAGATGCTACAGACTCTTCCTGATTATTTCCCCAGGACTGCACAAGATTCGTCTGAACTCATATAAGCAAATGAGAAAAAGGAAATGAAAGCGTAAAAAGAAGGGTATTTTGATTAAAAGAAATGAATACCTGGATGAAGACGACCTCACTCAAAGAATGTGGAAAAACAAAAAAAAATTTTGGAGCAAAGAGTCTAAAAATTCGAATGCAAAAAATGAGGGAATGAAAAGTGAAAAAGTACTTAAAGAAAAAGAATAACAAGGGGCGAAATCTGAATCGTTCAAAATGAAATCAACGATCACAAGTCTAAGCTTCTAGAAGAAAGAACCTGCCATACAGCTCATAATCGAATAAAGGAATGACATGTGTCATTGTCATTGATTGAAGCAACGATTATAGAAAATTGGGAATTGTACCAGTCACTTCATTAGGTCAGGTCACACCCAGGTCTGTATTAACCTAGGGGGTATCTGTTGACGTGTCGAGCTCGGAAGTCGGTCAGATCGGATTAATACAAGTGATGAGCACGTGACAATGTAAGCTCGATAGTGTGAGGTCGGCTCGGATGGTTAGCGTACCCAAAAAGATTGTGTAGTCTTTCGAGGGAGGGAGATTCTAATGATTGAAGATCACTAACACAATCAATAAACCAGTCAATCAGAAAAATTCATAGGGAATAATTTTACATCAGTGCTTACATAAGCCCTGATCAAATAGTTAGGCTCCTTTCCTAAGACTTACTTCATTAATTACTAAGGCTCCTTTAAGATTTGTTCATCATGAAACTGTCAGATTGAGCTCGGTGACCAATAGAATTATTCCAACATGTGTACTTCTCCAGTTCGGAATTGTAGATGACAAGACAGCAAATTAATGAAGCATGTATATTTTCTCTTATAAAAGATAAAATAGTGGTAAAGAAGGGGGACGGCTTTGCACATTTCAAATCTTCTTACATTATCTATATGTCAAATATCTCCTATAAACATAGAAAGGAGTAGTTGAATCGCTTGTAACGTCACATTGTCAATTAATCAAAGTCGTATTCCTCTTTGAAGTTGGCTTGAATTTTGTCTATACAATTTTCGACGTCAACAACTATAAATAGCATTATTTCAAAAATTAAGAAAATATGAAATACACTCAACCTTTCTTTTTGACAATATCAGATAAATTTTCTAATATTTTAAAAATATAACTAATCACTTTTATTAAATTGTTAATATCTAATTTGCCCTTAAAACAATACAAAGGTAACTTCATATATTATTCGTCCATTGCATAATAACGTCACAACTTATTACCAGAATCAGTTATATGTAAATATTACCATCCATTTCATTAAGTTCAAGAATATATATATTTCTTTACCAATAGGATGATAAAATTCTTCGCATTGCCACTCCCTTAATTTCCCAGAATTGCTTTGAATCTTTTTATTTTAAGTATTTACAACTGTAATCATATTCTTAAAAAGTAATACCAACTAAAAACAATTAATTAATTAAATGGAATGATATATGAAGATATTTTAATTCGTGTCCCGTTCCCACTCCCACCTTTGAAATCCTCAGCATGGATAGGGATGGTTACCCAGTTCCGAGACCAATCGAGCTCGGCTCGTGCTCAAGGGTTGAGCTCACGAGTCGAGCCTAGCCGAGCCCATGAGCTCGTGCTTTTTTTTTAGTTTCTTAATTTTATTTTTTACTTTTTTCTTCATATCTTTTACGAGTCCACGAGCCGAGCTCGTGGGCTCGTGAACTTTGGCTCGTACAACCCACGAGCTGAGCCTTGTATGGCTACCGGGCTCAGCTCGGGTTCATCCCGAAACAAGTCCAAACCGTCCATGGACCGAGTTTTAACAAGTCGACGAGCTACTCTACCTTTTTGTCACCCTAGTAAAATTATGGAATAATTGCAGCAGCGGTCCCAAACCTATCACTTTTTTGTAGACTTTACCTTAACTTTCACTTTGTGCCACCCATAGTCCCAAACCTTTCAAAAATTAGCACATGAGGTCCAAATGGATGATTTCTGTTAGTTTAACGGTTAGTCGACCCAATAAATTGACTTTGACCAATTTTAGAAGGGGCAAAATGGTAATTTTGAATTAAAAAACACGAAAAAAAAAAACACTGCTCATCTTTCTCTTCCCACACACATCCATCCCTATACTACCCCCTTTGATACCACCTCCATCATCAACTGTAGTAAAAAACCACCATTCCTTGCATACCATTGGACTCTCATTGCATTTCTCACGGTTGTTCATTGTCCGACATTTTTCTGGGCTCCAGCGTAGATATCCCCAAATTTACTCAAATCCACTGGCTTGGAGCAAAAATTGGATGACATATCAGCTACAAGCAACAAATTTTCATTAGTCGGAACTGGATAATCCTTGAATTCGACCTCGTGAATGGTTTCGTTAGCACAAATGTGCAAGTATTTTACTTTGGGCGTTTGCGCAAGGGCATCAAAGCTGGGGATATTAACTTATTTCTCAGATGGGAAAAATTCATATTTAAGGTG